CTTCTCCTTCTCCTTCTCCTTCTCCTTCTCCTTCTCCTTCTCCTCCTCCTCCTCCTCCTCCTCCTCCTCCTCCTCCTCCTCCTCCTCCTTCTTTCGGAGATGTTGAAAACAACATAATTTTACCAGCATTAAACACTATGCTGTTAATTTCAATGGAGAAGAATTAAGTGTATGCTCTTGTTGTGTTCTGAAATCAGTATGGGATTTGGACATTCCTAATGTGAATGGATGGTCTCTACTGTATTTAGTGATAAGGTACATTGTCTTTAAACAATTATTTAAAAATATTTGCTCACCTGCTGGAACAATAACTCTTCGTTCATTGGTGGTCATATTTGGTGGAGGGATGTGCTTTTCTTCCATATAGTTTCCATAGTTCATGCCAACATTTTCAGTGTTAGTCATCTTTCCACTTTTTGTCACACTGCAGTTGTCAGGGGAACTCCTAAGGAAACAATTTAAAAATTCCCAGATAATATAGAATATTTTTTTTAAAAAAATTAGGAGATTCAACTTTAAGAGAGTTCTATTTTTTAAAACAAAACATTTAAATATGCTTACTTTGCTTCCATAATATTCCACAAGTCACTGAAATGCAAAATATTATAACATAAAACAATATGATTAAAGTATCCATAATATTAATAGATAAATCTATACTACACAGTAAATAAGAGCCTATTTGCCCAATATTGAGATCAGATTAATACATTTACACGAGTTTGTCCCGGAATATTTGTTATCTTAAATTTATTTACAACTTGAAAAAGTAGATTTCTGACTAGTCCTCTCTGTAGCCACATGATCAAGATTTGGGGATTGGCAACTTGCACAGTATCTCTTGGTCATGTGATTACCATTTGCAACTTTCACAGCTGGCTTCTGACAAGCACTTGGTTGTCCTTATCTTATAATTTGGAAATAATTGAGTCATATAGTCAACTCTTATATTGTGTAAGATTAAGTTCATTATTTCAAATTAAGCGCAAGACAACAGTTATAAGCCACTGAAGTAGTTTACCTTAGAGCTATGCAGTTTCAGGAAAGTGCTTCATTCTGACAAAGGTTTATGAACATCACTCTTTTAAAATAGCTTCCCAAAACCACAGAAGTCTCTGCTTCTAAACACCAGAAGAGTATAGTTGCCTCATTTCACTTCACTTGAAGAAATAGGCCTCTGCCCAGCCAGCCACAAATTCCCACTAACTAGGCAGGTGATGGGCAAATAAATAAATCTTCTTTGACTTATTTAATAAAAAGATTAATTGATCATACTAATGTTAATAATTTACCAAGAATAGCAATAGCATTTAGACTTATATACCACTTCACAGTGCTTTATAGGCCTCTCTAAGTGGTTTACAGAGTCACCATATTGTCCTCAAAAGCTGGCTCCTCATTTTACTGACCACAGAAGGATGGAAGGCTGAGTCAACCTTGAGCTGGTGAGGAGCGAGCCCCTGGCAGTCAGCAGAGTTAGCCTCCAATACTGCATTCTAACCACTATGCCACCACGGCTCTTCCAATAAGAACCCCAATAAAAGGCAGAACAGGAACCACAAAACACAATTTGAACTTGAATTCATCTTCCTTCCTTCCTTCCTTCCTTCCTTCCTTCCTTCCTTCCTTCCTTCTTACCTGCCTGCCTGCCTGCCTGCCTGCCTCCCCATTACCTCCTGCCACCTTGCTGCTGCATTCCTCCAAACTCATTCCTCCAAACTCCATCTTCTCTGAGTCAGTATCTTTTGTTCATACTTGCTCTTGGTGTCTATGGTGATTCTTAGTCATCCAGGTCATGGTTGTCCTTAAAGTGCTTTTTCAAAAGACAATTGGATTTTGTTTTTCCTTGAAGACATTTCACTTCTCATCCCAAAAAGCTTCTTCAATTCTGACTGAATGGTGGAAAATGGAAGGATTTATATTCCTTGCAGTCATCTGGTCATTAGCACTCTTTCTGAGAGTTGTTGAGGACACTTGGAGGTTTACCTGTGCCCTCAGGGTCACCTGAATAGTGCAAATGGATGTGGAACCTTCTTGGAACTCCTGAAAAGATTGTGTTGTAAACAGGAGATAGGTGGTGTTGTATCACTCCCCCTCTGTTGAGAGAGGGCTGTTCAATCTTAATGTAGATGGCCTTTTTGACCCCTTTGATTTGAAAGAGGGGTCAAAGAGGCCATCTACATTAAGATTGAACAGCTCTTTCTCAACATAGGGGGAGGGATATGACATCACCTCAGTGCCCCTAAGGGCACAGATAAATCTCCACATGGCCTCAATGACTCTCAGAAAGAGTACTAACAACCAGATGACTGCAAGGAATATAAATTCTTCCCTCTTCCACCATTCAGTCAGAACTGAGAAGGTTCTTGGAGAAGCAAAAAGTCTTCAAAGAAAAACAAAATCCAGATACCTTTTGAAAAAGCACCTTTAAAATACTTGCTCTTAGCTTTCCAGCCCCTGCCATAACTATGTTTCCTCTCATAAGAAAGTGAGAGTTGCATCTGTGTTTCTGAATGGTAGAAATATTTCAAAGCCAAACTCCAACTTCCATTTGCTTATGTTCTGTGCTTCCTTTAGATTTTCTCTATAGGAACCAAATACATTTTGAGAAATAAAAACAGTTGGCAGCATGACTTTACTTTGAGGCATTAACAGTCCATTTATGTCTATCTAACTAAAAATAAAGTGAATAAAGGTAAATCATAAATAATAATAGATAAATGAATTTAGAAGCTATCAGGAAGCTATCAGGAAGCTCTGTGGGCTCAAGGCTTCATATTATCTATGCCTGACATATTCAGTTAGTGCAATTTTAAGTGTAAAGGAAAGAACAAAGCATTCTTTTAATACTGATAATACTGTAGTGGCATTCTGTTATAAATAAATGCTATTCTTCCTCAAGAGAAGTAACAATATATTCATTAATACCAAGGGTATGTAAAATTTTCTAAACTTGAAATATTCCACACTTGAAACACTCACTCTGACTATTCTAAGCTAAGAATATAACAAGATTATGGTGTCCTAGAACAGAACAGAACAGAACAGAACAGAACAGAATAATAACTTTATTGTCACTTTGAATGTACACTGATCGGCATACATTAAAATGAAATTTTGTTGCATACAGCTCTCAGAGGGTCACCACTTCCAATATGCACTACATAAATATGACAAAAATAAATAAATAAATAAATACAGAATTATGTATATACCCACATATATTATATGACACAGAGAAACAACACAGTCTAGTTCGGATTGTGTATACATGTGCATGGTGAGAAAAATGAACCTTGCGAGTTTACCAGATGGATAGCGTAGGGAACAAAGCTATTACAGAATGGGGTAGTCCAGCTAGAAATACGTTGAAACCTCCTTCCAGAGGGGAGCAACAGAAATAGACCGTGAAGTGGGTATGTGGGGTCTCTAACAATGCTTTGAGCCCTAAGCACATAGCGCTTATAAGCAGCATCCTGAATACCGGGAAATGAGCTTCCTATGATCTTCTCGGCTATCCTTACCAATCTCTGTATGGACTGTCTATCTGAGGTTTACCAATGCTGCCTTTTTTTTAACATATTAGAAAAAGGTAAAATCAAAAAGCGTATACACTTGCCTAAAATGTGCATGTATTAATTTATAAATTTTATAAATTTAAAATACACATCCTACCATAAGAAACAAGACAATGAAAAGGGAAACTGCATGTAATCTGTGGCTAATGGTTGCTATTGTTTAGCAATTCTAAGCCTAGTATTTTATCTTCATGTGATTATGATCATTATGTGCCATCAAGTCATTGTCGGCTCTTAGCAACCACATAGATATACTTCTTATCTTATTGTGGACTGGATTTCCTACATATTTAGTTCAGTTAAATAGGACATGCATCCACTTTAAATATGGAAAGATGGTTTACAGAAACCTAACAGTATTTCACTCAAGGTCAAGGCTAACCAAAGGCATGCAGAGAAGGCAAGTGAATTCATAATGGCAACATAACAAAGCTGGATGGTGTGTGGCTTTTGTCTAGTTTATCTCTGTGTTTGCATGTGTGTAATTTCATACTTAAATAAACATGGTATCTCCCTTATTTTTTTCCTTGGAAAGAGAAATAGGAGACAGACAAGTAATTCAAAGGCTTGTTCCTAATTTCATACTCAGGAAAATTCCCAGGGAAATGCACGTAGAAAGAAATTAAAATAAAGCTCTATTTCACATATTTATTTACCTTGAGCCGTTAACTTGATTTGAGGTGCATTCCATTTTTATGGTGACTCTGGCTGGAGGCTGGGATAACCAGTCCTGTTGGGGGATACGTGGACTCATCTTTGATGTTTGCCCATATTCACTGGAAGAAGAAGCAGTCATCTCTGACTTAGCAAGATGGGAAGTCCCGTAGGCACACTCAAACAAAGACTGATCTTCACTTACGACTGATAATGCTTCCTGAAATTCAAAAAAGGAAAAGCAACCAAAATTGATTAAATTAATAATTAATTTAATATTAAATAATTGTGCCTCCAGGGCAACTAATAAAAACTAAAAGAAATAACAAATACATCCAAAGGAAGAAGGAAAATTTAGTACATAGGCAGGTTCAGTTTTTAAAATAAGGCACTTCTATATTCAATTCATTAGCATCTGGAATTATGAGGTTACAAAGTTGAATTTTATTGTCCATGGAGTGATACTTGTATGTGTGTTACGAAAGTTCCCCATTAGTGCTTATTTCCTTATTTTTTCTTTCTTTGTTTTAGCCTGTATCCTTAATGATGCATTGATAATTTATATTTACCTACAGAACATATTTTGAATACAGCTATAAGGCACAAGTGAGCATGAGAGCATTAGAAAGAAAGAAACAGAGCTACCAAGTAATTGGCATCTTTACTAATATGCCAGTTATTCCTCATAGCTAAGAACACAGACATAATGGACCGAGAATTTGTGGTTAAACTAGCATTCCATACAATTAACTTGTCTTTCAGACGCCACATATGTATATAAAGGGAAATATATTCCACTATTTTCTATTCTTTGAAAATCAGTAGGAAAAGTAAGAACATTTTTAAAAAGTAAAAAAAGTTTTTGATAAAATTTTTGTGAACTAGGAACTCGATATTTTCTGCAGGTTACTAACTTTAGCAATATAACAAGTGTGTTTCCTACAAATCCTTCCGTTATCTTTTGCAGTACTGCCAACTTCCCAGGAAAACAAAGCATGAACTCCAAGCAACCCATGTCCATAAAACAATGTGCCGCTGCAAGAAGAATGAAGCTGCAGCTTTGATTGGTTTTGTAAAAAGCTCCGAGAAGGGGAAAAAAAACAGGTAGAAGGAACTTCAACTGAAATTGGAAAAGCTGTACAACTGTAAAGACAGAACAGGCACATTGCCAGCCATTTCAAAAGATTGGGGTTTCCAAGTCACCCAAACAGGCAACTGAAGGGTTTATTATTATTATTATTATTATTATTATTATTATTATTATTATTATTATTATTATTATTATTATTATTATTATTATTATTATTATTATTTCCAGGAATACTTGTAATGTTTCAGTATTAAAAACCAACAACATTTTCAAGATAATAAGCGGCATATGCTTAATATTACAAATGAAATATGAACACCAATCCATTAAAGGAACAACTGACACATAGCATCAGCTCATGTCAGCTAGAGCGTATCACTTCATCAGTTTAAGTAAAAATTGGACAAAGATTTAAATTATATGTAATATATTAACTAGAAGGACATATGTAGAGCAAACCTATTAGAACTAATTTAAGTTCTACTAATTTCCAGGGGTCTAAATCAAATACAACTGAAATAATAAACTAATGTTTATTAAAATTTTAGAAATCACACTTAGCATTGATATAAACATTTTTTTCTCATCTTCCAAAATTTCCAAAAGAAAATGTTACATGAAAAGTTCACATGATTTACTTATTTATTTATTTCCTAAACAATAAAATAATTGAATACTGTATATGTCTACTATAAAAACAAAATTTAAAAATGAGCCTAAGTATGAACATTCTGTTGTTGTACTATTAGTCAGATGCTATGTTTATATTATTTATAGGCTCTCAAAGTTGTATGTTCTGTTTTTTTTATTGTAGCTAAATCACAGGTCACTGACTATAAATAAATACATTCAATTTCACATAGACTTTTGATCAATTGCTTGGAATCTGGAACTCCTGAAAAGATTTCAGAAAATATATTTTAACTTTCTATTAAGATTGAATTTTATCCATATTATAAATCTTGATGAGTTGCACGCGTAAATGGGGAAGGTTATAAATGAAAAATCAATTATCAATTTTTATTTCAACCAACAATCAGGAAAAATAGAACTAGAAAGGAGAAAGTAAGTGTTCAAACTTGCTTCAACTGTTGCACAAACTTTTACTGCTCTATGTGTGATAGTTCATGTTATATCTTGGAGGAGGACCACAATAATTATTTCTTCTCCTTCAGTATTGATGTTGCAAAGGGTAAATATAGCTAATTTTAATAGTCCTATAGAAATTAAAATATGACTAATTTCTACAGCTCTATTTGCCCGGCTAATTTGACCCACCATCTATTTACTGTAAAAGAAAACAGTTAATAAGTAAACCCAACAACAAAACTAAATTTCAAAGTCCTCTGTTAACAATCTATTATTGTATTTCACACACAGAGAAAGTCCACAGTGGGTTCTAATCTATCATACATCACGGAAGTCTTTATCTCTGATCTGCCCAGGATCAAATATCTTTGACTGATTCTTAATAATAAAACTTTTCCTTAAAATTATAACTGGGATCTTTCCAAACAATTGCATCTCATTCCCCAAAGTCAGGAAACTCTGTTGTGAATATCTCTGCAGCTCTTGTTCAAGTTTTCATTGAATCACAATATCTCTTAGCAGTTGTCTTCTGATTGCATATAGTAAGTCTATTCCACACTCTCCATCAGTTTTCTTAAGAAACTCCAGCTCATTACTGATCCATACTGACATCTCGAAGCCTTTTAAATTTATGCTTCTTTCTGCTTTCTTTAATGAGCCTGCAATTCTCTTTTTCCTTCAATTCTGTCAACAACAAATTGACTTCCAATCCATCCAATTGTAAGTCTGATTTAGCTACTAGTACCTGTATCCGAGTATCATCCTTAGATTGATTTATGACTGTTATTAAATCATCAAACTTTTTATCTAAATTTTCATTCAGAGCTGGAATTGAAATGGATCGATTTTGGTGATTTTTTCCCCTGATATCGTATGTATTTTTATATTATCACCAGAATTTCTGTAAGAGCACTACTCCTTCATAAGAGCTGATGACCTCTCATGTTAGAATATCATTTATTTACTTTTAAATAAATCATTTTATTTTGGTGTTCTACATATTTTATCTATATGGACCATGTCAACTGCTTAATTGTCCTTTGAATGAAATGTTTTTAAAATAAACAGGAGGTTAAAAGATAATTATATTAGAGCACAGGGGAAAGGATTTCATTTTAATGTTTCCCAAGTAAACCAGGAAAAGAGAACATGTATCAAGGCATCTTGCAAATCATGTAGACTTTTTTGCCATCAGTTAAAGAAATCACTGTCTCTAGGACTATTAAGAAAAAAGACACAGTGCTGAAATCAATACAACACAAGAAACAAAGTCTATTCTGTGGTCACAGGAATATATCCACATATCCAGGGCTTTTTTTGTCATAGAACGCCCAGAACGGAATTCCGGCACCTTTTTTGGATGGAACCTTGTAGGGTAGGCAAGGCGGGTTGTATGACATGTGTGAGTTCCGGCACCTTTTTTTTTTTTTTTTTTTTTACAAAAAAAGCACTGCACATATCCATGCTAAAGGTAGGATACAAATAGAACTTTCATGTACATAGAAATAGTGACCTAAATAAGTAGATAGATGCAATGGGAAAGTTGGATCCTATGATAATAAGAAATGTAATACTTATTGAAAGCCTAAGTTATGTAGAAGAAAATCCTATAGTAAAGCTTTTCAAGTAGTGCACATAACTATGATAAATAAATAGTTGCCACATAATAAACCAAGCTATAAGTATGCAAGCTGTTTTTAAAAAAACAGCTTTAAAGTTGTATTGGAAAATTTTAAAAAGTATTTTATTAAAAATGTTATCTAATTACTTTTTAATTATTGGATTTTTTTAAAAAAAATGATCATATTTGTTCTCCATGAAATAAACTTCACAAAGAAAAACTTCAGAATATATTTTAATTAGTGCCTTGAAAAACCTAAAACCATAGACTGAGCCAAAGAAAATATCTGAAGCATCAATCCCGTGCTATACTGAACATGAGTTTTACACAATACATTGGGCAGATGCCAGCTATGCTTCCTTTTAGATGTTTTTGAAAAATAATATTAAGCCTTGTACACCAGGCTTAGATGCTTGCTAAGTACTGTAAAATAAGAGTTCAAAAACGGGTCTGCTTGATCACAGCAAGGGTCTACATAGTTCAGCGTCCTGATTTTAAGAATCCAATTGGATTCATTCTCAAATTTCCTCTGAGCTCCTTAGTAAGTCTGCTCAAACTCTCTCTGACTCATGATTTTCCAGAATTTTGAGACAGGAATGATTAAAAACAAAGAGGAGTTGAGCAATCCGCAAGACAGATTTAATTGTCTGCAAAACAAATACAAAAATCACAATATCTTTAATTTAAAAAATGGTTGAGTCCATTTGGTGGTTATCATTCTATTGAATACCTTCTTCTAAGAAGAATACATAGTCCTCAGTATACTGATGTCTGGCTGTGGGGACCTATCTTCAGTTTCTTTTTTGCACTTTGTTGATGCTTTTATTGTAATTGAGTTCTGGAGCACGTTACATGTTTTGTCAAATAAATGGTATTAGTAAATATAACAATCTCCTCACCAACACTATTTTGCATAATCAATTTATATACTTGGGTTCCCAAAGCACATTAAGCATAGTTCTGCTTGCTTGGGTTGTCTAACCATGCTTTGCTGATTAATATCCAGAGACATACATAGAAATTTGATTTTAGCTGTAATAAATAAAAAGTACCAAGAGATTTGGTCTACTAAACCTTAAAGCTATGAACTAAGAAATCATTACTTATAATTTCACTTATCAGTATTCTGCCCTTCTCACTCAGCCCATTTGCATTGTTATTAAACAAAACCTTCTTATATGCCTATATCCCTCATCATAGGAAGATGTTCCATGCATGTCATTTTTAGTTGACTTCTTCCATTGTGATATGATATGGGTTTTCAAAATCCTGGCATCATTCACCCATATGCAACTAAAATCCTGGCATCATTCACCCATATGCAACCCATATGACTGAAAATGTATGAAATAATCTATCAAGTATTTCCACATAGTAGACTCTATTAATAGTCATGTAGTTTTTGCAGGATTTAAGGTCA